GGGGGGGACCACGGCACGGCACGTACATGTTCATCCACCTGCGCAGGTCTTCTCCCTCGACGATGCGGAACTTTTCGCCGCGGCGCGCTTCCGGCGTGTTGGCGTCGGCATCGGCGCCCGGACCGACGAGGGCGAGCGAGACCTGGTCGATCTCGAGCTGGTGAAGTGCAGAGAGGAAGGGACGAGTGGAAAGCAGCGACGAGGAGAGTACCGGGTCAGCACAAGGCAAGATGGGCCCGGCAACAAACAGGCCACGGGCCGGGCCAGATCTGAAGCCCACTTCCCCGCCATCGGAGGGAGGGGAGTCTGCGCCATCGGCCACTCACGTCCTTGTTCTGCTGCAGCGTGTCGCGAAGGGCATAGAGGCCGTGAAGGACGAGCTTGTCGAGGTCGGCGTCTTCGAACTGCTCGTAGTTGCGCTCGAGGTAGGTCTTTGCGCTCTGGCTGCGGGCGCCGAGGCTCATGGCGTAGTACTCGAAGCAGTTGCCCGTGGCGCTAAACTCGTAGAGGTGCGGTCCGGTGTTGTCGACGCCGATGATGAGGAACCCGACGCCGTAGGGCCTGCGTCCGTACTCCATCGTGTTGAGCTGCGCGCGGTCCGACAGGGTGGCGGCGACGCGCGAGATGGGCAGCGGGCGCGAGTAGAGGAGGCGCGACGAGAGCGCCAGCTGGCGCATGTAGTTGCTCAGGACGCGCGCGTCGGACGTGAGGCCGGCGAAGCCGATGCCCATGTGGTTGTCGATGCGCAGCATCTTTTTCTGGTACGCCGCCAGCTCCGACGGCGCGCGCTTGAGCGCCACCAGGATGGCGTGCGTCTTGGACCGCAGCCCCACCACGGCCGAACCCTGCTTGACGGCCTCGAGGGCATACTCGACCTGGTGCAGCCGTCCCTGCGGCGAGAAGACGGTGTTGTCCGAGTCGTATGTGTTGCGGAACATGGTGGGAGGCGGCGGCGGAGGAGCAGCAGGTGTTGGTCGTCGTCGTCGTCGTCGTCGTCGTCGTCGTGCGTACTATCGTTGTCTCGGTGAGGAGGACAGAGCGAAGAGGTCGACGAGGGTCGGCTTGCAGAGTCTTCAGTAGCAGCGAGGGCGGCAGGAGCGGCGGGTAGCGATCTTCTGCTGGTGTCGAGTGGAGGTGCAGCGTACGGGCTAGCGAGATGAATGAGGAGCCGTGGCGGTCGAGGGCTGATGCCGTTGCTAGGGAGCGGGGAGCAGGATCAAAGGCTGGCAAGGTCGACTCGATGGCAGGCAGCGGGTGAATGGTGTGGGAAAGAGGCAGGCCGAGGTCGAGAGGACGCAACAGAGGCCAGAAGGGTGCGTGGAGGTCGAGCCTCGTCAGCCTGCCTGGGCGAGCCAGGCCAGCCAAGCCGCTCGAGCCAGAGGCGCGGCGGGGTGATCGACGGCCCTCGTCCGTCTCCCGAGTTCTTTTTCCGTGCGGACGGACCAGCAGTATAGCCTCCGCTCCTCCCCCTACCTCGCCATCAGGCACAGGAGCAAGGCCCGAGTCCAGCCACACATCGGTTGCTGCACCGTGTGGTCCAGCGTCGATCTCGGAGTCGTTCGTTCAACAGAAGAGCGCTGGGACAGTACGGGTAGCAGCCAAAAGGGAAGCTCAGGAACCGGAGACCGACATGGGGCGCACAAAGGTATAGGGTCGTCCCGGGGGCAAATCGGCAGGCATGCGCCTCACGCCCGGCGTTCCTTCTTGCGGTCGAGCCTGCGGTTGATGCCGCCAAGCAGCGCCTTGATAATGAGGTCGGCGTTAAGCGCCATCGACGAGTATGTCACCGTGTCGACCATGTCGCGGATGCCGTGCTCCTTGGACAGCGCGTCGTCCACTGCAGACCAGCGTTGCCGTGTCAAAAAAAGGTGGGGAGAGGAGGGTAGCCATCACGGACGAGTAAGCACGGCGCTCTCCACGCAGCACAGGTACGGCTGTGCTTCAAGCACGGAACCCAACTCACAGTCTTGCAGAGCCTCTGTCGCTTCGGCTGTGGCGAGGGCGGGCAGGTGATCAACAGTCAACCGGGTCAGCAGGAGCCTCTCCGGACAGCAGCACAGCCATCACGCGCGGAGACATATCTCACCATCGTCACCGACCTGGAGGAACTGGATGCCAATCTGGCTGAGCGGCATGTTGGCGCGATCGAGGCGGCGGGCGCATGCCACAATCACGTCCTCGGGATCGTCCGTGGGGCTCCCATCGGTGATGACAATGTACTGCCGGCGCGCATCAGCAGGAGGGGGGAGACGGCGAGACCGGTCAGCTGTGCGGTCATCCTGTGATTGAGGCCTCGAGACGCGGCATGCCGCTCGCCGAGACTCACGTTTCGCTTCTTGGGCTCGGGCCCGGGGTTCTGACCGCGCGAGAGCCTCTCCTTGTACTCTTCGATGCGGTCGAGGTAGTCGAGAAGCAGAATCTCGAGGCGCATGCCCGTCGGCGTGGCGCCCTCCGGCTCGATCGAATCAAACACGCGCAGGACCTCGCGCGGATCAGTGCAGTTCTCGATAGCCCGGTCGTTCTGGCAGGGTCAGAAGGAGCGGGCGTGCGGGCGGGCGGGAGTGAAGACTATCAGCCGCCGCTACGGCTCGTACGCCAGTCGAAAGAGGAACGAGAGCCTCTGGCCGGAACTCACATTGAGGAAGTAGACGTCGACGCCGTCGCGGTCATATTTGGCCGCCAGCTCGACGACGCCCGACACGGCGTCCCTCGCCTCCTCCCACCGCGAGCGGCCCATGGAGCCGTCGGGCAGCTCGTTGACCGACATCGAGGCGCTGTCGTCGACGACAAAGATGGTGTCAAAGTCCTTGAGCAGCTCGAGCGGGTCCTCGCGGATGGTGCTGGCGCGGCGCACAGCCCCGCCACCCTCGGCCGGCGAGGCCAGGTTGAGGTTGGCCATGTCCGCCGACATCTTGCGCGCGTGCTCAGCAATGCTGCCCTGGCGTCGAGGCGCCGCTCCAGCGCCGGAGCTGGGCCCGGCCGACGGCCCGCCGTAGCCGCCGTAGCCGGCAGTGGCAGGGCCAGAGGGCATTCCGTACGACCCTTGCTGCGGCGAGGCGTGGTGCTGCTGTTGCGACGAGGCTGGCGGCGCGGCTTGCGATGGCTGCATCGGCGGGTATGCACCCTGGAGGCTGGAGGGATCGGCGAAGGGGTTGGTGGGACGGCCCGGGGCAGCGGGAGCGGACGGGTCGTACGAGGACTGCGAGTTGCGCGGGCTCGAGACGAGCGGTCGTCCAGTGTGCTGGCCAACTGCGGGAGGAGTCACGCCAGGGGGCGGACCGGGTGGCGGCGCGTACTGCTGTCGAGCCGCCTGCTGCTGCGCGAGAGCCTGCGCCTGCGACTGGTTGGCCGACGAGTTGGTGCGGTCAACGGGGACATAGGGCGGTGGCGGCGGCAGCGACGAGTCGGGTTCGGCGTTGTGGAACGCCTGACCATCGCGGTTGGGCCGTCTAGTCGACATGACGAGGACGTGCTGCGCAGACGAATGAAGGGAAAACGCCGACAAAAGGGCACGTCAGAAAACGGTGTACCTCGACATGGGCCAAGCCGAGCTGCCAGAGTAGCCAAGGTCCCACGATTTCGACGTGCGTACCTGCGAATGCGAGGAACGCGTCGTGTGATGTTTAATCAGGGGAGGTCAGACCAGGAGTGCGTACTGCCAGCGAGGCAGCGTAGGAAAGGAGATGGTGGTGGTGGTGATGGTGATGGCGATGGCGATGGCGATGGCGATGGCGATGGCGATGGCGATGGCGAGGGCGAGGGCGAGAGTTGAGGCCGCGAGATGCATGCAACCTGCGACTTTCCCCCCACGCTCTCCCGCACATCCTCCACCCAACTTGATGCGAGCCAGGCGCCGGCACACAGAGCGAGCATGGCTTTGCCTGGCCCGGCACAGCGCACAGACGGCACGACTCGGCAGCCAGGCGGAAAGAAGAGGAAAAGCAGGCACGCAACCAAAGGCTGGCAAAAGAGCGCGCGCACGGACGACCCAGCCGAGCCGAGCCGCTTTAGCTTGCACAGCCGCCTCTGACCCCCAGCTCGCCTGCACCGCCACACCTGTCGTCGTCGTCGCCATCGTCGCCGTCGTCGCATCGTCTTTGCCGCCACTTGATCGGTAGGCGTGAGGGAACGGGCACAATACCGTCGTCGTCAGGGAGTGCAAGCATGGGTCTAAGTGTACAGGGTCCGAGTCGGGCACGGCAGGGCGGGCCACCGTCTGGCAGGGGTCGACCTGCTTGTTCCAGAGGAGCTCTGCCAGAAGCCGCCCTCCTAGTGCGTACGGCCGACTGCGCCGCGGCCGTGTCACTCTGTGCGTGGTCCCGCCGCGCTACCGATGGTCCTACAGCGGAGGGGGAAAACGGGGAAGAGACCGGCTGGCCCCCTAGAGCTCGTCCTTGGCCGATGCGGCCTCCTTCTTGGCGTCCTCGAGCTTCTTGTTGGCCACCGCGGCGATTCGCTCGTTGGTGAAAGCCGAGAGCACGTTGTGCTTGCGCTTGATCTCGTCGACCTTTTGCCGCGTCAGCTTGCTGGTGCCGTCGGCGTACTTTTTGAGAATCGCGGCCAGCCGCTTGGTCTCCTTTTCGATGAACTTGGCATTCTCGCCTGCCTTGTCCATGACGCGGACGTAGTAGCTGGCCGCCGCCTCCTTTTCGGGCGACGACTTGTCGCTGCCCTTCATCGACTCGATGAAGCTGACCAGCTCCTGGTAGAGCGTCGAGCGCCCGTCTGCGGGCGACGTGTACCACCGCGCCGCGATGCCGTCGAGCGAAGGCATGCGGCCGGCGAGGTCGCTGAGCGAGCCGCCCTTGAGGCGCGCCGTCGAGCATTTGTTGTTGAGGTACTTGAGGAAGTCGTCCTGGCTGCGACCCTGGTTGTACGGCTCCGGCTGCTTGTTCTCGCCCTTGGGGAAGAAGAGAATCGTGGGGAACGACGAGATGCCGTAGCGCTGGGCGATGGCCTTGTGCGCCTCCTCGTCGGCGTTGAACTGGGCCACGACGCACTGTCAGGGCCAGCGGCGCGGCGTGAAGAGGACGAGGGAATGGCGAGCGTCAGCGGGCGGGGGAGAGGGCAAGGGCGGAGAGGCAGGCAGGCACGCAGGCAGACGCGGACAGCGAGCCATCGCCCGGGCGGTCAACATCGACTCACGCTCTCGTCTCCGGCAAAGTCGGTGGCCACCTCCTGGTAGGTCGGGTGAAGAGCCTTGCAGTGGCCACACCAAGGCGCATAGCTGGTTCGAGCGACCGAACGAAAGGGATGGTTGGACGAAGTCGGGCGGCGCCGGTCCGTCAGCATCGCTGCGCGGCAGCAAAGGGGCAGAGCGGCGTCTGGCGCACTCACAACTCGACCAGGGCGTCGTTGTTCGGGTTGAGGACGATCTCGTCAAAGTTGCTGCTCGTCAGCTGCAGCGCCGTCGGCGGCGGGGGCGGCGGGGGAGGCTTGATGTTGCTGGCGGCGCCGCTCTTTTCGGTGACAAACTTGACGATGCTGTCGAGGTCGCGCCCGGAGGCGTAGGCCTCGCCGTCCTTGGAGTGCGGCGGGTACCACTTGAGCGTGGGGAAGCCCTTGACGCCCGCGCGCTGGCTGAGGTCGCGGTTCTTGTCGCCGTCGACCTTGGCAATGACGACCGAATCGGACTTGGAGGCAAAGGCGTCGGCGACCTTTTCATAGGTGGGCGCCAGGTTCTTGCAGTGGCCGCACCAGGGCGCAAAGTACTCGACCAGCACGCCCTGGGCGCCACCGACGGTCGAGTCAAAGTCCTTGGTCTTTGTCAGGTCGCGAACGTTGGAGGCGGCGGCGACGACCGAGGCGGCCGATGCCAGGATCGCGGCCACCGCGGCCAAGCGCACCGCAGGCAGCCCGAGGTAGACCATGGCTGACAAAGGGGGGCTGCGAGGGGGGTTAGAGGTGGAAGATAGACAGAGGTAGGCGGCCAAAGTTGATAGGGGGACGCCGGAGATGAGGTCGCAAGGTCGCAGGTTGGTGGTCGGAGGAAGAAGAGGGGACGACGGCGAGGCCAGACTGTGGTGTGGCCCTGGTTGGCAGGCGGGTGGGGCGGCGGTGGCTCGTGCCTCATTGCGTGGCCGCGCAGGCAGGCCAGCACACAGGCGGCTGCCAGGCGGCGGCGGTGGCGGCTGTGGCTGGTCGATCGCAAGAAGATTTTGGGTCTCGCCCGAAAGCCAGTTTGGCTCGGCCACGGCCGGGCGCCGCAAGGGCCTGTGCGGCTCGCCCGGTGGCCTTCCAAGCCTGCCTGCAGCTCAGCCGCGCTCCACGCGCCCTTCCTCCCCATCGTCCATCTACAACGTCTCTCTCTCTGTCATCCTGCACCTGTCCCCCGATCTACGCACACCCTCTCCTTCCTCGCTACCGCACTACAACCCTACAGGCCGCTGCATCAGCACTCGCACAAAGGCAGACCGAGCCTGGCCAACAGCAGACACCGCGCCAGGCGCGCCTCGGCCCGGATCCTAGGATGAAGAGGTGAGTTTGGGATGCTCCAGCTCGACGCCCAAGTCGTGCTGCAAGCAAGGTCCGGACTGCTCACGCCCGTGCCGCCTCTGGTCATCTCCTGTCGATTGCAGATCCTATCCGTACACGGGCCCAGGAGCTCCGGCGGGAGGCGGTCCCGGCCAGCCCATCGGCACCGCCTACGGGCAGGCCCAGCCGCCTCCTCCAGCAGGCCCAGCCCCGCCATTGCCTGCCGGTCCCAACGCCAACCTTGCTCCGACACAGTCGTATGCCAACTACGGCTATGGGCAGGTCGCATCCGGTCGCGCCTCGAGCCAAGCGGCCGGGACGTCCAATAGCGCCGGTCTGACCGCGACCGACGCACAGCAGGCCCAGTGGCACCAGCAGTGGCAGCAGTACTACGCGCAACAGGCAGCCGTCACCGCTGCCGCCGCACTGCCCGCCTCGTCCCAGCAGGCCGGCCCCCAACAGAGCTCCGGCTACGTGCCCGGCCGCGTCGGACCGTCGCCCCAGCCCGCCAGCGCCCAGGCCTACACGCCCGCCTACCCGCAACACCAGCACCAACCCCAGCAAGGTGGGTACCAGTATCCCCAGCAGCAGTCCCCTGCAGTGCAATCGCAGCAGCCCTGGCAGCAGCCGCCAGCAACCCAGCAATTCCACCAGGGTCCGATGCCACAGGCGCAGGGCATGCAGCAGCAGCAGCAGCACGGCGGTGTCCAGGGAGCACCTCCAGCCAAGAGAACCCGGTATGACCAGCATCAGGCAGCGGCTGTCCCTCCTTTCGTGTCCGGAGGCATGGCGGCGCCAGGCTCGCAGTTCTATGGACCTGGCCATGTCGGCGGCGCCAGCCCCCCCAACCTGCCCTCGGGCACCGGCCCGGCCGGAGCCAGCCCCATGCAGAGCTTTGGCTGGCAGGGCGCGGGCGCAGGCACAGCCATGGGAGGCCCGGGTCCCGGCATGGGCGGCGCTTCGCCTATGGGGCCTATGGGCGGCGCCGGAAGGGGCGCTGCGCCCGGCAGAGGCCGCGGCGGTGGACCGTTTGGTGGCCCGCCTGGTCAGATTGGCTCGCCCATGTCGCAGGGCGGCTCGCCCGGCGGACCGCAGGCGATGAGGGGCGTTGGGCGTGGCGGGGTCCAAGGCAGTCCGGTGGTCCCGCCTCCCTTTGCCGCGGACCGCGGCGCAGTCGGCTGGGGCGCCAGAGGAGGCCGTGCCGG